CGGCTACTTGGAAGGCTGAGGTGGAAGGATTGCCAGAGCCCAGCAGGTCGAGACTGCAGTGGCTGGAAGCGGCCATTGCACTCCAGTCTGGGCAACAGAGTGAGACTCCAACTCAAAAAAAAAAAGAAACATTTTTTGTTTAGCATCACAGCATTCATATTTCTACCATAAACATGAATATAATAATGAACACTATAAAATGCAATATAAAAATGTACTAATACAAAATATTATGTGAGCCACAAAAGCAAGCCACGTATGCATGTTCAAATTTTCCATACGCATATTTTAAAAAAAGAAATAGGTGAAACTAATTTCGTTCTTTCCTTTTTTTTGGGGGGGGGGTTGAAATCTCACTCTGTCACCCAGGCTGGAGTACAGTGGCACACTCACGGCCACCCTAGTATCAACTTGCTAGGCTCCAGTGATCCTTCTGCCTCAGGATTCCAAGTAGCTGGAACCACATACAGCTAATTTTTTTTTTTTATTGTAGAGTCGAAGTCTTGCCAAGTTGCCTGGGCTGATCTCAAACCCATGGGCTTAGGCGATCCACTCGCCTCGGCCTCCCAAAGTGCTGGGATTACAGGCTGAGCCACCAAGCCCGGCCGAAACTAATTTCAATAACAGATCTTATTTAACCCATCTCTCAAAAATATCATCTAATATGGAATCAGTATTTTACATTCTTCTTTTCACACCAAGGCTCCAACTCACTGTGTGTTTTGAGCTTGTGAGAACATAAGCTCAGACGGCCATGGTCCAGGTGCTCAGAATCACATGTGGTCAATGGCAGCAGCCACAGGCCCCAGAGCCTCACCATACCAGGTGTCAAGAATAATCCCACAGACTCTAGAGTGGAGTAACAGTTTTGGTTCCATGCGGCCTCTTCTTTGATTACTTAACCACTCAGAGCCTACTTAAAATCATATCCTGACATTTTCCTTACCACAGGGAGAAGGGTGAAAGGAAGAAGCAGCAATGAGTAAAAGCTAAATGTCATGGTCTGCTGACTGTAAATTAATAATTCAGCACAATGGTTAAGATTCCTGCTTTGCTGTTGTACTGAAAAACAGAGCAAATACCTGAATGGAAGGACAGCAGATGCTGGCACAAAGGACATTAGCATGAATAAAGGGATCTTGCAGCGATTATCCTAAAAGCATAAAAAGGAAAACAAAACAGACAAAGGATATTTAAACACTGAAATTTTGAAAGTCTCTCCACCTAACTTCCTAATAACTTATTTTCAAAGCTGCTCAGTAAGAACTATGTTCAAAGGAAAAACTTAAACCAATCTCATGTTTGAGGGGTAGAAAAAATTACTTCATAAGTATTACAGAAGTTTTATATAACATTTTGCTACTTTGCAAATATTTGTTAAGCATCTGGTACCAGTTTAGATCCTGAGAATACACCATCAAACAGAACAGACAAAAATCTCATGCTGTCATGGAGTTAAGTCTACTTTAAAAAACAATACCAAGCCGGGCTCAGTGGTTCAGCCTGTAATCCCAGCGCTTTGGGAGGCTGAGGTGAATGGATTGCCTGAGCCCGCGTTTCAAGACCCACCTGAGCTACTTGGCGAGACCTCATCTCTACAATAAATCAAAAATTAGTCGGGCGTGGTAGTGCATGCCTGTAGTTCCAGCTACTTGGAAGACTGAGGCAGAAGGATCGCCGGAGCCCAGCAGGTCGAGGCTGCAGTGGCCGGAAGCGTGCCACTGCACTCCAGTCTGGGTGACAGAGTGAGACTCCAACTCAAAAAAAAAAAAAAAACCAACAATACCCAAGGAACAACAACAACAACAACAAAAACTCTATACACTTGGTATCCTGAACATAAATCTCAAGAGAAGGAAGTTATTCAGAGAAAATTTTATAAAATGAATATCTTTAGGAAGACAGTGTATTTTAATAGAAAATGCACAGGCTGTGGAGCTACTGAGTCAAATCTAGATTCAATCAGATCCTAGAGCTCAATGGCTGGTACAGCACAGAGGAAAGGGGTTTAAGCTCTCGGAGGTAAGCTCTCTGTTTTGTCTCAGCAAAACAGACATGGGGCTGTTGGAAGAACAGAGTGAACTGTACCACACCAAACTCAGTACAGTACCTAGAATGTCCTAAGTGCCTAGTAAATTACAGCTATATTATTATTATTATTATTACAACAATAAGGTAAAAGTCTTCCAGCCTCCATCAAAAACACTCAATAAGAAATATTCTTGACTGGAAGAAAAGAAGACTTGGCAGATCCTAAAGGAAAAAGAAATAATTTTCCTGAAAACATATAAGAAACAGGACCAAAATCAAAATTGGATCTTTAATTTGCATCTAGTTACAGTGAACCCACTCTAACTCAGTTCCCAATAAGGGAAGAAAATATTTTTTAATGTTATGAATAGACATAATGATGATCAACTCTGTGCGGGTCTCATCACCTCGTCACTTAGTGGATGACCAGTGTTCCCTGAGTTCCTAACGATGGAGAAGCCTCTTGCCAAAAACTCCTGGAATTCACTGAATCCAAGGCTCTCCATGGGTTTCCAGCGTCCCCAAGGCCACACCTGCCAACTCATTCAGTGTCCTATGTAGGCTTTTGTTCATCTGCTGAGATTTTTAAAAATAATGCTGGTTTTTCGGCTCAGATAATTATTTGAGCTTTTAAATTTATTGAGATGATTACCTTCATGAACAGGTTATGTTTTTATTTTAGGGGCAGAATGAAGCTTAGAGTCTTGACAGTCACAGAAACAGGCTCAGAAAAGCTATGTGGTTCAAAGTTTCATAAATAGGTAGAGAAGATCGAGAGTACCATTTAGGAAGAGAAGGGTAGTTCATAAGACTATGATCTTTCTACATTTAAACCACGCCCTCTTTGTAGTTGGAGATAAATTTGAATTTTTATGTTAGTCTTTTTTTAAAATTTGGTTTTAAAATATGAATTTCCTTCAGAAGTAAATAGTCAAGAAATAAGAAGTCTCCCTTCATCCAAACAGAAATCATACAAGGAGAGACAGGAGTGGTGGGATTGAAGGTAGGATTGGCCAACAAATACAAAATGGCAGTTAAGTTCAAGAGATCTATTGTATACCATGATGACTAGAGTTAATAACATCATGATATATTTTTGAAAATCACTAAAAAGAGCAGATTTTAAGTTTTCTCACCACAAAAAAATGGTATGTGAGGTAATGCTTACATTGATTAGTTTGGCTTAGCCATCCCTCAATGTACACATATTTTAAACATCATGTTGAACACAGTAAGTATATATGATTTTTGTCAATTACAAATAAATAGGTATTTTTTTTTTAGTCACACGCTTGTCTGTTTGCCCCAGCACACAGACACAGCTGAAATACTTCAGAGACACATTTGCTTACTGCACATCCACAGTCACAAAATCCTGTTTCTCAGACCCCTGCAAATCAAACGAGACTCTGAAATTACATCGCCCACCATTAGAGACAGAAGAACTGAGTGCTCATCCGACCGAGATACTGCTTTGCATGCTGAGAACATGAAACAGAGAGAGAGAGACTTGGTCTTGACCCTCAACAAGAGCAAGAATGACTATCATATTGTAACGTAAGCACAGCTCCAACCTCCTCATTTTACAGATGAGAAAACAGATCCAAAAAGTTAAACATGTTAAGTAACTCTTGCTAAATCCTAAAAAAATGTAATCGTAATATATCTTACTTACAAGTACAATTCAATACTTACCTTAAATACTTTCAGATACTCAGGAAGTACAGAGGCAAACTTGTTAATGGTGTAAACCTTGGCCTCTTTATTATTTTCCATACTTTTATGAATACTTTTCCAGAGAATAACAATGATTTCTAGTAAACCTGCCATGGATGCAACATCGTTTACTGACAGTGTATTGTCCAGAACCTAAGGTGCAAATAATTTTATTGTGAAAGAAGCTAATCATAACAACTATGAAAAGACAACAGCACTATCTTTAAAAGCACATATCAGAATTATAGATCTAAAGCAGAAATGTAAAGAATATCAGTCCATTTTCATTACATAATATAATTTTACTTACATATTTTAGAATCTTTGTTAGGAAGATAGTTGTTTCTAAAAGCCCACCCAAGAAATAAATTCTAAATTAATCCTATGTCCTTTAAAGAAACAGTTTATATGAATTACAACTTCTCTAAAAAAGTCAAAATGTACAAAGTATTGTCTCCATCTAGGAACATAACACACTAGTAAAAAACATGCCATTTCTTTCACTGTATTTCTGATTTGTTAAAAGATGTCACTTGGTACCACAAACCTCAATGTGAAAGTGTGAGGGGGACAATACTCAAGGTAATTACTGCTGAAACAGTAGCTAAAACCCAGCCCACCAGGTCCTATCTCCATCCACTCTCCATGAAGCCAGAACATAGCCAAAGAGACTGGAATAATGAATGATCAACTACCACTAAATCATGGGCTTTTGCAGTTTGTTTTAAAATACAAATATCTATTTAAATTTTCCTGAATGTACCCTTGCAGTGTGCAGGGCTCAGCTACCTCAGTGTTTGTTTAAACCACAAATGCATTCTTACAAATTCCTCTTCTATTCACAGTGCAAGCACTGTAAGCCACATGCATGGTGACTGCATACCAAGAGAAACACACTGGTAAGACCTGCTAAAAATCCCTACCATGGAGGCTTATCATATGACTAGAATGTACGATGAGGGAAAAGTCCCAAAGAAACCCAAACTCTTCCAAAACCAAGATAGAGCCAACTGGGCCATCAATGAGGGTGCAATGAGCTCATGGAAACTATAAGCTGCATAGCTGTAGAAAAATGAAGGTGACCCTTACTCTTGCTGCGTGCTTCTATCTTTATGCCTCATCTGATTCCTGTACTTTCTTTGTAAAGTTACTTCTGAACAATGTCAACCCAGCAAAACTGACAGGGACAGAGAACACAGGCTGGGCTGTAGCTTATCAGGGTGTGGCGGGGTTACATGCAGGCTGACAGGAGACCAAGAGACATCCCAGGGCATGAAGAGGGCCTGGTCAAACTTCCCACCACCTCCCTGCATGCGAGACAAAAAGGGATCAAACCAAGAAGCACTCGATGCAAAGACCTCACTGTGTGGCAAACACAGAGCACTACATGTAAGCAAAAGGCGAACTCCTTTTTTTGTGATTTTCTTTTAAAACCCCATTTCTTAATATAGTTGGGCACTGCAAAACGGTCCAAGAATTTTATGGAAACATCCATAAGTATAAAAGTTTGTTATAAGTTTAAGATACTGCTTATAAGTAATAAGTGTGTCTAAGTCTTAAACACTGTTTCCTTCTGATATAATTGGTTATTTGAATTTTGAAGAAATAGCAACTAGAGTCCCTTTGGTAAACTACACTTTCAGAAAGACAAATAAAGCTCATTCCCAGAAATCTAATCCCAAGATGTTTCTAGTAGAATCTCATAGCAGTGGCTATGAGCAACACCACCACCAACCTAACTGCAAAATACAGAAATGCCCAGAATCCAAATCAGCTAAGCAACACCCAGGGTCAGTCGAAATACAGAGACATTTAGGGCAATGAAAATCGGGACAGAGAGTTACCAGTAAGAATTTTTTGGCCAGGTTTTGTGGCTCAGCCTGTCATCCCAGCACTTTGGGAGGCCGAGGCGAGTGGATTGCCTGAGCCCACGGCCTTGAGACCTACCCGGGCAACTTGGTGAAACCTCGTCTCTACAATAAATCAAAAATTAGTCAGGCGTGGTAGTGCACGCCTGTAGTTCCAGCTACTTGGAAGGCTGAGGCGGAAGAATCACTGGAGCCCAGCAGGTCGAGGTTGCGGTGGCCGGGAGCGTGCCATTGCACTCCAGTCTGGGTGACAGAGTAAGACTCCAAATCAAAAAAAAAGAAAAAAAAAGAATTTTTCTTCCATATTAAGTCCTACCTGAACTCCAAAATGAACTACAAAGGATATACAGCAAGTCTTCCAAAAACATTATTTATGATCTTCCAAAACAATATGTTTAAGTAACAATACTAAATAGAAAATTAAAATATTACTGACATAATGGTCCATGGAGTGCTGCCACTGACTTAACATTTGCCTGGCCTGGTCCCACCTACTCACACTGGTGTTCTCCTTCCCTCTTCCATCTTCCTCCTCCTGGTGCTCTCTAGCTGCCCTCTGGATGCAGGCATTTAAGCAATGGCGAATAACATGAATCAGCTTTGCTAAAATGGTCAAGATAATAAAAAATTACTTTAGGTGTTTCTTCTACAAAATTAACTTCTAACGGTACAATTCTAATCTCAAATAGTTGAAAAGATTATGTTAAGGGAAATCATTAAGAAATGTATTACAGCATAAGGCTTATTAAACTGACATACAGTGAATATATATCATGTGTATTACATTTTGGGGGGAAAACATAACAAGAACTGGGGAATGGCGGCACTCAATACCTATGTTGGTACAGGCCGTGTGCTCATGCGCATACTGATAGAACCTCCTGGCGGCGGCGTGGTTCATCTGCAGCAGCGTAACACAGCGCTCGCACCAGACCTCCTCCGGCTGATTCACAGGCAGGAAGGAGTTAAAGATGAGTCTCACCAGGCGCCGACACACAGGTCGGGAATCAGTTTCCAGCCGAACCAGAAGGTGCTCCATGGGACATATATTCCAAAACTGTACAGAAAGCACACATGCAGAAGCAAACAACCAGTTGTTACTGTAATTCTGAAAACAGCTGAAGCAAAATTTCCAGAGCATAACCAAAAAGGGAACTACATTTTACAACCAAGAAAATTCATTTCAAATTGACTAAAGCAGAATCTGTGACTGTTCTGCAGAGAAATTAGAATTCATAAGTCTACATTTTAAAAAGTACCAACAAGCCGGACTCGGTGGCTCAGCCTGTAATCCCGTGCCTTGGGAGGCTGAGGTGAGTGGATTGCCTGAGCGCGTGGGTTCAAGACCCGCCTGGGCAACTTGGTGAGACCTCATCTCTACAATAAATCAAAAAACTAGCCGGGCGTGGTAGCACGCACCTGTAGTTCCAACTACTTGGAAGGCTGAAGTGGAAGGATCGCCAGAGCCCAGCAGGTCGAGGCTGCAGTGGCCGGGAGCGGCCACTGCACTCCAGTCTGGGCAACAGAGTGAGACTCCGACTCAATAAATAAATAAATAAATAAGTAAATAAATAAATAAATAAATAAATAAATAAAAAAAAATAAAAAGTATCAACATATAAGGCGCCCAAGGATGAAGCTGTTGAAGGGTTAGTTATAATTATCTAGCAATATGATTGATATATGTAAACTCTCAAATGATAGCAATAATTATCAACCCAATATTTTTTAAAATTTCTTAAACTACCATAACTTTTGGCCCATTAACGTGAAAAGTGAGTTAAAAAAATTGTGTAAGTTTACAGACACTCCATCTCCAATCTTAGAGTCAGTGACTAAACATCCAGAGCTGCCTAGCCCGGCCCATTCACAGCTGCCTCCGCTCTGTTGCCAGTCTGTGCCAGTCACTGTGGATCCCCATAGCCTGGTCTCACCTCCCACAGCCTATCTCGGATGCTGCAACAGGACAACCTGCACATAGTGTACCTCTTCTCAAAAGCATTCAAAGGTGCCTATAGAAAGTGCCACACATCTGAGTAAGAAACTCAAGACAAGAAAAAAATTACAGAGAAAAATATTAAGAGAAAGAAGGTCAGGTGTTGTGGCACACACCCAGAGTCTCAGTTATCCAGGAGGCTGAGGCAGGAGAATGGCTTGAACCCAGGAGTTTGAGGTTGCAGTGAGCTATGACTGCGCCAGTGCACTCTAGCCTGTGCAAAAAAAAAAAAAAAAAAAAAATACAGACTTGAAGGTGCAACACCAAGCCCTGCCTCAGGCTCCTCACCTGCACAGCTGATGACATCCTTGTCCTTCCATTTTTTCAGTGACTTCACTCCAAGGACCACTCCCTTCTTTCTGGCATTTTTAGTTGGATCCTTCTCATCAGCATTTAAATATTTTCATTTCATTCCAATCCTTAAAACAAAAACTCACACTCCAACTTGAGGACCCCATCTCCTTCTGGCTCCGCTTCCCTTCCCCTAGTCAGCTGACCCATGCCTCTGTGTCCCACCACACTCCACTTCCTGACCCACCGACACTGCAGTCTCCTCACTGAAACAGTTCTTGCCAAGGTCATGATGATCTCGTATTGCAAAGTCAAACGGACATGGCTACGCCCTCAACTTAGACAAAACCTGCAGCATCAGACCCTATCATTTTTTCCTCCTGAAATGCTCCTGGGACACTTTCACTCAGATACTTCTTGGTATTTCTGAAAAAATTATCAGAGTAAAGGCAATAACTAACCCCAAATCCTACACTAGACACTTTTACTCACAATAAGCATTGACCCAGCACCCCAAGCATTCCCAGGAGGATGGAATGGCACGGGTCCTGGCTCAAGGCCCTCAGCCCATTCTGCCAACTGAGGCTCCAAATCTCACTGAAGGAAATCAAGGGTCCAGAGGCTCTTATCTAAGAGTGAGAGATCACATCCTGTTAAGGTTTAAGAAGACAAGAAAGAGAAAAACACCAGGACTCATATTCTGATCACTGAACTACTCCATCTACCTCAACCCATGGCCCCTTCTGCCCATTTCACACACAAAAGCCTTTGGCCACATGTGCCAGTCCAGGCAGGTTATAATTTCTGAGTGTGAAGCATCAAGTTGTAACTCTAAACAACATACTAGTAGGCCAGCAGAGGACAATGCTGACAGCACTAACTTTTCTGGAAATACCAAAGGATGCCAAGCACTCAACCAAGTGCCTGTGTCAGTATTTACCGTAATTTCACAACCACTTTAAAAGTAGATATTAGTATCCCCACTTTCCAGATAAGAAACAGAGGCTAGCCGGGCTCGGTGGCTCAGCCTGTAATCCCGCGCCTTTGGGAGGCTGAGGTGAGTGGATTGCCTGAGTCTGCGGGTTCGAGACCCACCTGGACGGCAAGACCTCATCTCTACAATAAATAAAAAAATCAGCTGGGCATGGTAGCTCATGCCTGTAATTCCGACTACTTGGAAGGCTGAGGTGGAAGGATCGCCGGAGCCCAGCAGGTCGTGGCTACGGTGGCCGGAAGTGGCCACTGCACTCCAGTCTGGGCGACAGAGTGAGACTCCAACTCAAAAAAAAAAAGAAACAGAGGCTTAGAATGATGAAATGTAAGATCATAATGCTTTTTATCTACTCTGCCATGCTCTTTTCAGCATCATGAAAACACACAGATCAGAGCTATGGAGACCATGCACTGATGTCAAAATAGACTCATCGGCCAGGTGAGATGGTGCACACCTGAAATCCCAGCTACTCAGGAGGCTGAGGCAGGTAGAATGCTTGAGCCCAGGAGTTCAAGACCAGCCTGGGCAACAGAAACCCCATCCATTTCATTAAAAAAAGACAACATGTTGAAGGGAGAGTGCTGACATCTCCTGGCCCACGAAGCTCAACCCAGCAGCACAGACCTACCACAGCTAACAAAGGAAACAAAAAGAAAGCTCTCATTCCTCCTGAAGCTCTATGTGGGAGACCCTCAACTGGGCCAGTGTGCCCATTACGAGGTATGCACAGGCTGGGACCGGCAGCCTCACATTGTGTTGCCAGGCCATTCCTACCCATAGCTACCCCATCTAGTCAGCCTGCTTCTCACACTCATGCCATTCTGTAACCTTAACTGTCAAGGAGAATTAGTTTGCATGCCCATCACAAACCTTCCCAGAGACCTCACAACCAACTCTCTGTCTGCTTTGTGTTTATAGAGCTAAGGACTGAGGTGTAACCATTGTTTCCTTCCTCAGCTCTAACACCCAAACTCCCCAGGTCAGTCAGTAAAAACTGATAAAAAATGTAAGGTGGGGTTGCTTACATTAATGCCTTTCAAAAAGAAAACATCGATTGATAGTATCTCTAGAATTTTCAATGAAAAAACAAAATTTGACACAATTGGTCAAATATGCCAACATATTCATATAACAAATTTTTAAATCAGCAGTTTAAAATGTGGAGTTAAAATTGCTTTGTCTTTCTGCTGGAAAAGGAGTCTTAAAATAAGAAAACCCTACTCCTCATACCTTAGCGGCCCGCACAGCCTTGATCTTCAACAGCATGTCCACAAAAGCTACCCTCACTTTCTCCGAATTGTCATGGAGACTGTATCTGAGACCTGGCAAAAGTTGCTCTAACAACGGGTGGCTCAGTTTGTTGTCCAAAATCAACGGCAGACACTGTAACAAAGAGAAAGCAAAACAGTTCAAAATCAGAGTATACCAGTGAAAGGTTCACATAGGAAAATTTCATTTGAGAAAACATTCAGTTCCAGTTTTACTAAAATTACTAGTAAAATATACCTACAGAAAACATTTTCTAAAAGTTTCATATAAAAAGCATAGTTTTAATGAAGTAGACTTTCAAATACGCACAATCAGTCCATTCATTATTTCATTCAAACAAGATTAAAGCAATTATAAAAGAAATTTTCAATGCTTTCTCTAAAGTAAATTTTAGGGGTTTGGAGTTGAAAGAAACACAGAAGGCTGGTAGCATGGTCTCCAGACACCACGTCCATGTACTCTGCATCTCCTGACTCAACACTGCATACAAACCGGAGGGAGCAGAGTCACTGTATTTAACTGAGCACCCTCATGAGTGACCACATGCACCCACACAGGCAGGGGATGCTTTTCCACAGGGCTAGTGCCAGCCTGGGAACTGAACTCCAGAGCTCTCAAGATCTATGGCCTTTTCTTTCCAGTTTTAGGAGAAAGAATACTTTTGTAGGTTCTTATTAAAAAGTATATACAGTATACCAAAAAAGTATAATTTAATACATAATAATTTTTTTTCAATTTCAAGTACTTACAGCTCCTCTTCCAAAGTGCTGTGCCCAACAGGGGTCCAATCTGACTCATCTGCTCCATCTGCATCCTTGGTCTCCCCTTAGCCCCTTTGACCATGCCCTTTCACCAGTCTCCACCCACCCTGGTCAGGCCCACACACACTCTGCAGCTCCCCACTGCTACAACACTGTGTTCTCCTAACTCTCCTTCAACTTCTCTGGCCTTTCCTCTGTAGATTCTTTGCTGACTCCCCTTCTAGCTCAGAGCCCTGCTGTCCATCCTCACAGATGGACCATGTGGCCCTGGGAGACACTTTAGTGTGGCTCTATAGAGGATTTTCTCAGGGGCATGAAAGTACCAGACCAGGAAGTACCAGGTAGGGGGTCAAGAGAGAGAAGAGACTAGCCAGGGAGACACGGCCAGCTGGTGGGAGCAGCAGAAAGAAGTGGCCAAACCTCAGAGAACTCCAGGGAGGCAGAAGGACAAGACTTGGGTGAAAGAGAAAGAAGAAACAAAAGAAGCACTCAGGTAAGCAATTCAACAGATGGCAACACCACTTGAAGGAGATAAAGAGGAGTGAAGGGGGAGAAAAAATAAATAACCCTCTTAAGTGCAGCAGGTTTGGAAAAGACAGCAAGAAGCTGAGTGCTGGAGACAGGGGTAGTTGCTATGATGAGCCACCAAGAACCCTATCAGGAATGAAGCGCCCACCCCCACTGTGCCAGGGCTGTTGGAGTTGCTCCGCTGTCAGCATCCTTGGAAATGGCCTCCTGAAGATGCATCTCCTTCCAGGGCAGCTGGAGAGCAATGGCAGATCAACACAGGGTAGAAGCCCCGTCCCATAGCGCGCAGAGTCTGAAGGGCTCTGCTGGTCGCCCATGGCCTTCATGGGCTGTATCACAGTTTAACCTCTCTTCCCTTCCCTCCCTTCCATGCACTCAGGAGCATGTCCTCATCTGCATGCTATGGATAGTCTCCATCTCAGAGCTACCTGCTGGTCACACAAGCAGAGCTCTCCAGCAGACACTGGTCTGTAAACTGGGACCAACTGCATGCAGAACGGATTCAGAGTCAAGGCTGGAAACCAAATCACTAAAGTGTGTCTATCATAGTCAAGAAGCAGGTGGGTCCCTCAGAGCTCTGCCTTGGTCAGTGTTTAAAGAAGATTCTGCCGGGTTTGGTGGCTCAGCCTGTAATCCCGCGCCTTTGGGAGGCTGAAGTGAGTGGATT